CGATTGATTATTCTTTATATCATTGGTTAAGAAAATCAACGCTATAATGTGTTTTTAATTGTAAATAAAATTCAAGAACTAAATCTTTACATTTTCATGTTTTGCCAAAGGATTCAATTCGGTAATTACATTTGTTGGTGCAGAATTAACGAATCATAACTTTACCTAATATAATTTATATTTAAGTTTTTAAGAAATTACTTAAAAATAATTTTTGCACAAACATAACCTTAAAATCAACCATTTTTATATTTGAGTTCTCTAAAAACGCCGACAACTGCATTTTAAACAACAAAATATACCAACGAATTCATGGCAACATAATATTATATACATAAAATAATGACTTTAAAGAATTATTAATGAACGCTTTTAATAATGCTAAATGCTGTTTAAATTTAGACGACTTATCTGTTTACTGAATTGAAATGTTTACACTTTTCACGTTAATCATTACTAAAATGTGTATTTATTGTATCTAATAGATAGGTACAATTTATATTTACAGGGACTGTTTGAAATTTATTTCTTCATTCGGATTAACACTGTTTATTGGAAAACCGATAAAAACTCAACCCAGGATTTCCTCTCGAAATACACCCAAAAACACATCAAATCGTGGCACGTTTTTATTACCGATATTTGTTAACATTTTCCGGCTTTATTCTCAAAAAAAATCGTTTGTAAATAAGCGTTTGACAGCTGATTATTAAAAGTTGTAGTTTTGTTACGATGATACAGGCCGAGTGGTGGCGCTATTAGCGATGCTTCTTTAGAGTATTTATAGCCGAGCTCAGTGTTCGCTGCCGATGCTGCAGATCTGAGCGAGGCAGTTAATATGCTTTCTCCGCCGTGTTGTATATAGGTACTTTTTTTTCAAGCGTTTATTAATTCTCTACTTATTACATTTAAATTATCGAATTTTCGAGATTTTGTCAGGTTTGACGTTTGACAAAATATGTTAGGTATATTATAGGTTAGTACATGAATTTATTCTACAATGACTTGTAATTTATATTTTATTTGCTGATTTCGAGCAAAACTCGATAGATGGAACCACTCTGTAATTTCAACGTATTTTTATTATTGTACGGCGGTGTATAATAATTTGATTTTGAACTGCGTAGATATATAAAATCTTTCCATATAGGCTTATGAGTGTAATAATATGATAATTGCTACAGATTTTTTTTATCAGTATTCGTTTATTTCTCATTTTCTTACCAACAAATAAATGTTATGATCACGGTAGGTAGAATCTCCACAGATGTGGATGCCTTTTAAACCGTACCTATTTTATCGATATGGTTTGGCCGATAACGACGGTTAGAAGTTAACTTTGGCTTTGGAGATGTTTTGGATAATGGGAAGTAACAGGGTCTTGATGATAAAAAGTATGATTTGATGCTTCAGAATAATGTTTTTTAGAAAATTGTTATAAACTAAAAGCTTGAGAAGAAATGTTTTGAACATTACGTTGAATTGGATGCAAGATCTCAAGATTTGTTTAAATAAAAAAAGACATTGGTCAAACTGGAGAAGTTTATATTTGGAGGATTTGGGGAACTTGTATCTGGATCATAGGCAAAGGATAAGGATAGATATTTTTAACAGTTCTGCGTGTCCAATCTAAATTTAGTTTTGAATAAACAATGAAAGTTGCTGTTGCTGCTGGTGCATGTTTGCTTTTATCAAAATACCTGCCCTTGCCAAAAACGAAAAAGAAAATGATACCAGAAAGATTTAAAAAAAGACAACCTCCCAGATAACAACCGTGAGGGGCATCAAAACGCACATCGCCTTCATGTCGTGCGGAATAATGCGTGACGGTAAAAACCCTGCGATATGATATTAATTTTATGATTAATGGGAATACACGCACGTGATTGGTATGAGGGCACGAAATGATTGGAAACTTTTTACTTTTGCTGAATAGTTATCGCAAAATTGTAGATGTAATATTAGATCTACACTACATCTTGCGAAAGTTATTGATTTTACTTCATACACTGAAAGAAATATATACTAAAGTTAAATAAAAAAATAATTAGGGCAAATATATTTTATGTTTCATATATGGACTACCACATACATTGCTAAAACAAATATATTCGTTTGGTTAGCAGCCTATTGCTGCCCTAGCTATATAAATGTGTTTCTAGCAATATTTTTTTGCTGTAATTCACTTATAGTTTACATTTTATAGTAAGGGTAAGTTTATTTTTATTTAGATCTAACATATCTTCTTTACAATAAATGTATTACAAAATTTAACATACATTTATAATAAACAGTAGTATAAATGTGTAAAGCACTAGTATAAAATTTTTAGTATAAATTTGTATTTACTTTTAGCAACAAATTTCTTTCAGTGTATTATAACTAAAATTTTCAAAACATTTATTTACACCATATGGTTAATTTGTGAAAAGACTGGATTTGTAAAGACTAAATTTGTAGACTACATTTGTATAAAAAATACACATAATTTTATTTGGAATTCCAAATTGAAATTGATCTTAAGATCAACGAGTTAATATCATGTTTATAAATTAATTTATCATTAACTTATTTATGAATTTGTTAAAAGATGTCTAATTTTGATTAAAATAAGATATCTTTCTATAAATGTTGACAATTGTCACAAAAACTAAAATAAATGACTTAAAGAAAAAGATCTTTTGGATTATTACTTATTGACCAAAATTTCGCAATAAATCAATTTTATGAATGATTAACAGCTGAGTTTTGGACTTGCCTTGGCTTATTTGATTATTTTTCTTACAACCTTTCGATTAGTAATTATCTCTAATGGTCTTCAGGTAATAACCGAAGACAATTAAAGATAATTACTAATCGAAACATAAGAAAAACAATCAAATTAAGGCAATGCAAGTCCAAAATTCACCTGTTAATCATGCCCGGAAAAATGTTTTCAACCATCACGTGCTGGCTATATGAACCTCAATTGATGACGCAAATGATGCATCTATGTAACATACGTGCGGATTAAGAATCACGTTGTAAATGCAATATGCGTAAATTATGAACCTCGCAATGTTTCTCCAACCATCACATGTGCTGGCTATATGAACCTCAATTGACGCAAATGATGCATATATGCGTGCATACGTGCGGATTACAATCACGTTGTGACTGCTATATGCGTCATTTTTGAACCATAATGTTATCTGGGCTATGGCGAAAACGTAATGTTTAATTTAGCATTGTTGCAGATATTCGTCAGATTAACAATAGGTATCTGATTTTAAAAATTTATTTGTTTGGTAAAATTTTCAAAAATAATACAAGTTGTTGATGTGGATAACTCCGCCCACCCTACACACTGAGCGATGTTTTCCATTTGAAATGAAAAATATGGATACAAGCAACAGTTAACAAATTTCTTTAATGTACCCATCTGTAACTTGTAGCGATTTAACGGTATACGTGTTGACAACATTATCAACGCATTGACAACATTTTGTTGGCCGGTCTAAGACTTTGGACAAGTTTATTTTTAGTGAAACGTTTTACCTATTCTAAATCATAATATGAATAATTGGTTATGGGTTAGTTATTTTGCTGTCATTCCTATAGAGTAAACTATTTATTTTATCATGACAAATGCTTGTGCATTTTTTGTTTGAATTAACAATTAAGATAAACAACATAAATAGGTAATTAATTTTCCAATATGACAAGCCATTGAATTGTGTTTGATTTAGTTAGAGCTATTGAAATTGTGTTAAAACACGTTTGAATCATGTATGCTGTATATTTTATAGTGATTTCCTTAAGTTTAAATATAGATTTAAGCCTTTGTGATAGGCGATATTGTGTGAATTACATCATAGAAAATTTTATGTGTGAAAAACATCATTTTATAAAACCTGTATCGGTTATAATAGATGAGGAGAAAGATATAGAGGAACTAGTAGGGCCCAATAGAGTAACATGGCCTTTATTTATTAGTTCTACATTAAGGAACTCCAAAAAACAGTCTTATTCTAGATTGAATTACATAGTAAAAGTGAAAAACATTAATATTATAAAGGTCATTTTAAAGTTTTTAAAGGAAGGAGACGTTAATTGGGATTACCATGTAAAAATAATGATTTTCGCCGATGAGTTTAAAGGATTAATTGAAGAACTAATAAATTTTATAAAATTTGAAGATATAAGCGCTATAATACTACAAAATAAAGATGTGTATATTGTCAAGTCAACACAATGTTATTTATTTGTTTGTCTTTGGGATGATTATATAAAATATATGCATGTAGATTGTGATCCAGATATAAATATACGACTCATTCAGAATGTTCCTAAGAAGTTGTATAAGGCCATGTTTATCCCAAGTGCGCCGTATTTTATCAATGTGCCTAATAATTCACTGTCAAGTTATGACTACTTTCTTAGTAAAGGTATTGAACACAGTCTACTATCTGTAATAGCGGATTTACTAAAACTTAAAATACAATATATTTTGCCAAAAGACGAAATGTATTTTGGCGATGTTCAATTAAATGGGACTGTCACAGGTAACTTAAGGTATCTAGATAATGGTTTGGTGGATATAATACTTGGATCATATGATCTGTCATCAAATAGAGTATCAAAATTTTATTATTTATATCCAATACTGTTCGACAAGTTTTTCTGGTGTACACCTCACGATTTAAGACAATCTAATATCAAAGGACTTGGGGCGTTAACTGATATATACAGTTTTGTTTTACTGCTAACTGTGTTGGTTTTAATAGGATTTACAGTATATTTTTTGGGAAAATATTTGAAATATTTTATCAGTTTTAAAAGAATTATTCTTATGATATACTCAACTCTACTTGGGGCTCCAATAAATTTACCTAAGAATACTTTTATAAGGGCAGTACTAACCATTATTATACTTCTAAATATATTTATAAATATAATTTTTTTAACTGTCTTGACCAGCAATCTAACTAATGTGGAATATAAGGAATTTATTAATTCAGAGAAAGACCTTGAAAATAGTGACATTGTACCTTACGCCTATGAAACACAGTTAGTTTTCTTCGAAAACTTCCCTATCAAAGAAAAAATTAAAGTGTGCTATGATTCGAAGTCGTGCATGAAAAATGTAGCTTACTCAAAAAAAGTTGGATTCGCTCTATCCACTTTAGATGAAAATTATGTTTCAAGTCAATACAAATCAAAAAATGGTGATCCGTTGGTATACTGTATAAGGGAGTATTTACTATTGTGCCCAATAACTGCCTATATGCGGTATGGTTTCCCTTATTACAAAAAATTTTCAGAAACAACTTTGAAACTTTTCGATGGAGGTTTTATTATGAAATTTCTAAATGATGTGCACAAAAAAGAGGTTAAAGAAACTGAGAAGACAGCTAAATTTATAAAGTTAGAGCACTTGTGGACTTTATTTGCCTTAATTTTTATTTTACACTTGGTCTCGTTTGCTGTTTTTGTAATGGAAGTAATAATCTACAAGAAAAAACAAAGGCGAAAGCGAAGTAATATGGTATTAAAATAAAAATAACTAATCATTGATCACACAACATTGAACTTCTAAAAGTCTATATTGTAATTTAACTTTTTTGTTTAAACATACACTGAAAATACAACAATGACAAGTTTTCGTAACATGCCATTTCAAAATTGTCAAGCAACTAATGGTCAATACATATATGTATCGAGGTCATCATGGTTTGTTCTATGGGCAACATGTAAATTTCTAAAGTTGTTTTTAATTTGGACTATGGCATATTTTATTAAGCTCCGATTTTAGCAAAAATCCGTACGATTCTGATCAGAATGCCCGGAAATCGGTTAGATGGGAAATAGCAGCGATTTCTGGAGCATGGGGGTCCCCTGCTCCCATTAAATTGTATCCAAGAGGTAAGAGCTATAGCGACAACAAAGTGCTGGAGATTTGGAACCAGACACTTAGCCTTACTGAGGAGTGGTTCCAGCGGCAAAGAATAATAAAGTTTCATCCACCTCGGAGACGACAGTTTCGACGAGGATCGATTTTGAGAAAATAAACACCTTCATTTTATAAATAAATATGTTTTTTCACCTAAATCGTTTCTGTTAATAAATTGTGCCCACGTGGTTACGGTTTACAGTGATCGGGACAAAAACCAATGCAAAGTTTACTTACCTACTCAAAATGCCAAAATTCGATAATCAGGCCACCCACAATACACGCGCAGACCCCTTAAAATGATACGCTACTGACTACCTAACCATACATACATTTCACGTTTCAAACATTCGCCGCGACGACTATATACGGGGTGTTATTTAAGTACGTGGCCAAACTTTAGGGGACGATTCTTTGAGTGATTCTAAGACGAAAAGTTCATATAAACATAGGTCCGGAAATGCTCCGTTTTCAACTTACAGGGTGTCAAAATCTTTTTTTCTCAAATATGTCAATAATCCTTTAGCCATTTTTTTAAAATTAATAAATTTTTTTTTAAATTTTTTGCATTAATTTTTAACCAATTTTTAACATCAAAATAGACCAGTGATATGGAAAAAAATAACAGATACACCCCAGTTTTTGATAGTTTGGTAGTTTTAATTTTTTATTATGTTGTTATTTTTATTTTTTCTCAAAAACGAATTCGTTTTTGAAAAATATTTGCGCGTTGAAAGTCGGTAGATGAGGACCGTGGTTTGGATTCCACGTTTGCCTGTAAGCTGGATAGGTTGATGGCGTCACTACTCTACTTTAACATTAACATTTTTTTTACTAATTTTAAAACACCTTACCATGAAAAAGTTGTATTCTTACCTTACATTATAAGCCAAACAGGTCCGTACTCTGATTTTTTATCGGGCCCTAGGGCCTCAAAAGAAGGGCAAAAAGTAGATTAAAAAAAAGTAACAGTTTAGTAATTTTGTGACCTTTCTTATGTCGAATATTATTTTCTATAAATTTTAAATAATTTGAAATATATTTAACCGGGCCCCACACATTTTGTTGTGCAGCAAGTAACTTATATATTTCTAAATATCAAATTTACCCAGAACTCACTACAAGGAGGTACATTAAATTAAGGGTACTCACTGGTATACAGTGTGTCGCATTTAAGATGAAGACACCCCCATATTTTCGCTATTTCAAGGAAAAGAGATTTGATTTTTTCACATTCATACATGTTGGTGGGTCACATTTTTTAAGATACTCAACTGAAATCTAAACTTTAAACTTGGCCTACTACGAATTCTTAAACGGGGTCAGTTGTCGATATTTTGCTTCGCGTTAGAAATATCGAAAAAAATTATTAGAAAAAGTTTTTCAGAATATTATTCTTACCTCGTATACGGATTTTCATTGCAAAATTCGCATTTCTAATTTATTTATTTTTATTAGTTTTATTATTGTTTTATACCATTTCCTTTATTTAATAAATTATAATTGATTTGTAATTTCCAAAAATTGTTTTAATTATTTATTTAACGGCCATAAACACTAGTTGGTATCAAATTATTACTTTCCATGGCTCCCTTATTATCAAACTAAAAAATGAACTTGTAATAATTTTGTGTGAACCAAAATAAAAAAAAATTAAAAATGCGAATTTTGTTATAAAAATTGGTATATGGGGTTAGAATAATATTCTGAACAACTTTTTCCAATAACTTTTTTCGATATCTCTAACGCGAAGCAAAATATCGAGAACTGGCCCTGTTTGTGAATTTGTAGTAGGCCAAGTTTAAAGTTCAGATTTCAGTTGAGTAGCTTAAAAAGTGTGACCCATCAACATGTATGAATGTGAAAAAATTCAAACCTTTATTCCTTCAAATAGCGAAAATATATTTGTTGTCAAATATCGGTCTGAACGAGCTTCAAGTTTTGCTCTTATATACCCATCCCTTGATGTCTCACCAAACACCTTTTAAGAAGCCTCAGTAACGAGTTTTACACACCGCTCCACAGATTGTGTATGGCAAGGAAACTTTTCAAAATCGTTTTATCAATTATACTATCACTAAATTTCATAGTATTGGGAGGCCACGTGGTGGCGCTACTAGCGATGCTTGTAAAATGTATTACATATGTGTATAAATAAAAAACTCTTAAGTTAAATATGGTATGGTATGTCAAAAATAACATTTTTTTTTAAGTTTATTAGCATGAAATTTACTTTTTTAACTAAATAACTTTCCAAAAAGAAATCCTTTAATACACGTTTTTTTTCATGTGCTATTTACTAAAACATTCAAAAACAAACATTGTTTTAGGATTTATTTTCCTGATCTCAAAAGCAATCTTCAGAGCATCTTTTCCTTATTTATCTTTTTATCAAGTTTAAAATATAACGTAATTAGTTTTCTTTGTGAATTTAAGGTTGACAGAGACTGAAAAACAAAGTCTCAAAGAACTGATGTCGATCGAGGACGAATTGAATTCCAACATGGAATGGTCAGTTTATAAACAATGCTTTCGCGTAAGTCCTTAAATTTTTGTTTATTTATTTTTATATTACGGCGACTAGAAAATTGTTTTTTTTTATAAAACTTTAATTTTTAAAATTATATTATGTATTATAATACTTTTATGTATTATAATATTTTTATACAATCTATAGATTGCACAAAAAGTTTAGCTAAATGGTATTATGTTATAATAAAAATATTTTTTTTTAAATTGTTCATCAAAAATCATGAGACCCTACCTATATTTTCTATTTGGTATAAGTATTTATTTGATGATTTGTGATTTTTTGCCCCTAGAGTACACATGCCACTTTTTTTTTTAGTTTTTGTTTTTTTATATTAAGGCTGTAAAGTTGACATTTATTTTCGTTATTTTTATTGGTGTAAGTAGTTGTTAATAGAAAACTTATATGTAGATGTAGAAAGTAACATTTTAAATAAATAAGTCAAATTTGATATTTTTGTTTTTAATATTATGTCGGGTCACTACTTTTCCTAATAATAAAAAAAATTGGATCCAGAACAACATTGAGGAGATCTGCAAATACCCCCCCTACTAAACAATCCGTTATTACGATTCTAATTGTTTTAAAATAAATATATTCAAAAAGTCATTTAAATAAACTAACATTTAAATCAAGCGGGAAACAGGTAAATGTAATTGACGTAGAGTGCGATCATTTGACTTGGCGTCATCGGTATGTCTATTCCGCGATGATGGCTGCCGTTTTAATAAACCACGCTTGTAAATCGAAATGATGTAAATTTACGTTTGAACCAATCTCGCATTATAATTTAGATTATAAATTATTAACATTTTGTACGTGATTTTTTCTAATTAAAAGGTCAGGGTTGTACTGGATTTTATCTAGTTGAATGTCAGGGTTGTACTTTTGATTTTATTTAATTATTTTAATAAATATTTCTTAAAGGGGATTTACCATAAACGCTGTGTAAATTAAGTGTAATTGATATCCATTTTCTTGAATACGGGATTTATTAAATTGTACTCGCCGATTCACATTTATGTCCCGTCATTAATTAAGTGATTTTACCAGTTATATTAAATTAGGAGTGAGTAGCAACAGTAATTGTGCGATAGCGACTTTTAATTTATCACCACTGTCCGTGGAGGCCTGATATAAAAAGCCCATTTTAAATTATTATCCTGTAAATTTTTAGAGGTGCATAAAGGGCTGGATTCATCTGTATGCGCAACGGAGACATTGCCTTTTGCGATTTGGTCAAATTATTACCTAGTATTTTATGCTAATTATTAAGTTATTAAAGTTTGCCGACTAATGACGCATAATGGGCAATTGCGGACCCTCAATTGGAATGACCTCGAAGCCGAATATTATTTATTCCTTATTCTAACAGTTGATTGAGCCTGAACTCTAATAAATAATACAATCATGTAACAGTAAACTTAAATTCAACAGTAAATAATTATAAAAACTGTATTTGGAGGATGGATACCTAATTCAGATGAAATTATTGACGGATAAAGTTACATTTAAGATACAAAAATAGAGACTAAGACTCAATTTACTTTTATCCAACAAACAAGCAAGCAAATAAAGAAACAAAGTAAAAATTAAAACTGGAGCATCAGAATTCTCTACTTGATGTATTATTTATCTAATGGTATTTATATATTTATTTATTTATATTATATGTAAGTTGTGGTCTTTCAGAAAATAAGTTAAATGTCGTTTGGTTAAGGTTATTGTTGTTGCTTTATCCAAATAAATATCATTATTGTTTGTTATAAATTTTAGTGTTTTATACGTTTAATTCTCTCCCATAATCCCTCATTTTGGAAGGTTTTATGATAGATAATTATATAAAAATAAACGGAAGCCTTCCGGGTGTTTGACCTGAGTTCAAACCAAATTTATTGTCTTTTATTTACTGTATTTATTATTTCCCTTCTAATAGTTTCCCTATGAATAGAACACCTTAAAATTACCTTTGGGTTACTAAATTAATGAGCTTTAATACCGTAAGTATTTATTTTATTAATTTGTCTCAACTTAATATAACAATGGCCGTGGTGTTATATTTCATTTATTACTTTTACAGATTCTTTGCGGGGGGGGGGGGTTTGTACGCTTACAACATATACCTCACTATTTCCGATATAATTAAAAAAATACTCAACAAATATTTTTAATTGCCCAAATTAAAATGAAAAGACCCTATATAGTTAATTCAGTGTATTCAGGTTTTATATGTCGCTCGTTATACTTTAATAAACAAATAAATAATATTAAAAAGAAACAATATTTGTGCAGGGTCGTAAAAACTTTTTAATTAAAATAACTTTGTACATTCGCTGGTAAAGCCGCGCTACTAAAACTTTTCTACCGGTCGATGCAACAGGTTGAAAAAACAGGCAAAACAGTATATTTCTGACATTTTTATTTCAGAATAGCTACAAAGATCTAACGGAATTGGAAGCGTTCGAACTAAAATTTCGAGACGAAAATATAATAACAGTTGCAATACTTAACCCCTCCTTCAACAAACAAATTCTAAACTTCGAGTCCTCGTTGGATGTCCAGATGATTCAAACATTTGATTCGTTGAACTCTTTTCAACAGTTGGTGGTGAAATGCAGCGCGGTTTTAAAGGACCATTTTCCGAGGAACATGCTTAAGTTTATTGTGAATTCGGGGTCGTTGCGACAAATCGGGTTAGCAATTAAGACCTTATTTGAGAAGAAGGTTTTCTGCTGCGCTTACGGGGATTTTTTGATGGGAAACGATATGCACTTCAAGGGAAGATTAATAGATCCTAATAGCGTGACTAGTAATAAATGTGAATGCACTGGACTTATAATAGAAGGTAAGACATTTGACCTGACCCACAGTTATAGTTATAGCAAATTGGAGTATCTAATATAAAATTATAAAAAAATGTTGCTTGGTCAAACCATGTCAATTCACCAAGCTTAAACTCAAAATTTACCCCTTAATTCGTCGTATCTTAACGAAACTTGGTATATTGTCTTTAAAGTATAATCCTTAATCGGTTTTGCGGAGTACCCAACCCATTTTGAAAAGTGTGGTTTCGAAAGTAGCTCATCTCGTGAACTATTGAATGTACAGACGTTAATTTTGAATGCAGAATTCATTTTAAAATTCAAATATATGATTTTTTAAAATTTTACCAAACTCTTATTTTTTCATAAATATTAAACACGTTTTTAAACGCCCGAAACTTGAATATTAGAAGCTTTGAGTATATAAGTTAACTTGAATCAAACAGTGGTTGGCAAAATTAAAGCCTGAATTATAGATTGCCTTCCTTCCTTCCTCCCGCAGTCGTGCCCGTACGATTTGTGCGTCTTGTAAAAAGTTAATTTATAGATTTCCGTGTAAAATTCCGTAACCATGCGCGATGACACCTAAAATGGTTGACATTTGTTTTTGTTTATATTCTGCGTTTTACCCATTGTGTGTAAATATGAAAGATAATCATTTATATATAGTACAGTGATCACAATTTTAATTTTAATGAAAAAAAAACATCGAACAAGACGTTGGAAGACTCGCTCACTTTACCAAGACCAAGACGGGGTTTTACAAAGCAACGTTTCTAAAAATGAAAGACATTGATCATAAACAATATCTAAATATCCTATAATAATAAGCCGGTTTTCCACCAAACGGACACAAATTAATTATTTAATAAACTGAACTGAACACCTATCTTAAATAATACTAAACAATTGTATATTTTAAATATTTTGTGGCTACGCGCTGTCACCCTACTCTCTAAAAATGAAACAGTGGATTTTCACTGATTGACAGTGCATATTAACTATTTGCCGCAGTGATAAGTATACCCCTAGCAATTAGTGAATACTCCACTTTTTCATGTAGCGATTTCTTTGCACTAATTTATTTAGTGGAAATTACACTGTACAAATTAGTGAAATAGGTTTAGTACACTGAGAAAAGGAAATATTTAATATTAAGAAATCAAAACAGTTGCGATTTTTTTTAAATATATGTTAACTATTAAAAAATTTCTTAATCGTGAACAAATTATATACTAATTATTAAAACATCGTCCGGTGATTGTGTTTCAGACAAATAAAGGATAAAGTTGTCTTAGAACTTTGATATATTAACAGTTAATATACCTAAATTCGAATAAAACGTTTTAACATTTGTCAAAATAATTTTAAATGCAATATGCGCAAGCATGTGACGTTGCCGTAGTTTTTTACAAAATGGAACTTCGATATATTAACAGTTAATATATCTACATTTGCTAATACGTTATGAGCTTCTTTAATTCAACTTAACCAGTTCTTAGACCCAAATTAATATTTCTTTCGCCATATCCAACTCATCGATTTGTTAATAGTTAACGTGCCTCGTTATTAACAAATATTTCGTTCTCTCAGTGTAGTTATGATAACTAAGTTCAAAAAAGTTAAAATTTCACTATTTTATGCCGAGAAGTAGTGATAATAAAAAACACTGATTTGGAGAAGTTAAAATTTCACTAATTTATATTGAAAAACACTAATTTTACAGTGATTAATAATTCACTGACGGAAAAAGTGAAAATTTCACTGTTTCACTTTTAGAGAGTACAGCAATGTGATTGGTCAAGTCAAAGACCTTGATAAAACTTAAAAAATTCTATGGGAGGAAGGAATGCCGTCCTTACGGTACAATAATCTATAAATGGCACTACGATTTAAACAAACATTTGTGACGTAATTGTCACCATTAACATTGCCCGATATTAATTTTAATTAAACTTTACAATTATTGATACTTTAAAATATTAAAATAACTTCAAAATATGATTTTGTTTAGAAAATATCCTTTGATTTTTTTATTACTATAATTGCAAAATATTATCACAAAGTATAAAAAATTCTTACACGGGAAATGTTAATGGTGACAATTACGTCAAAAATGTTTATTGGGTTTCGTATTGTTCATCTTCTACGGGAGGAAGGAAGGAAGGAAGGAAGGAAGGAAGGAAGGAAGGAAGGAAGGAAGGAAGGAAGGAAGGAAGGAAGGAAGGAAGGAAGGAAGGAAGGCAATTTATAATTCAGGCTTAAGGTTTAAAACTGTCATATTTTTGTTTTTTTAGGTTGGCAGCACAAAATTAGAATTGACAATTTTAAAGTGACAATAAATTGTTTCTTGAGATATTAATAAAAATTATACGCTAAAGAAGCATCGCTAGTAGCGCTACCACATGGCCGTTTTCATCGTAATTAACTACAACTTTTAATAATCAGCTGTCAAACGCGTACGTTAAAAACGAGTGTGAGAGAAGGACAAAAAATGTTAAAAATATCGACAAAAAAAAAACGAAAGGAAATCCTGGGTTAAGTTTTTACGGGATTCCCAATTAACAGAGAAAATCCGAATAAATTAAATATAGTCCCTGTAAATATAAATTGCACCTAAAAGATAATAGGTACAAATTTTAGTAATGATTTACTTGAAAATTTTTAAAATTTAATTTAGTAAAAATCATAAAACAAATAAGTCGTCTAAATTCAGCGTTATGCATGCATTATTAAAAGCGTTGATTGAGACCCAATAAACGGTAAAAAAACAAAACAGGTATTATTTATGTGTATTATTTATGTATTATATATAATATTATGTTACCATGAATTCATAGTTATATATATTTTGTAGTTTACTTTTTTAAAATGCAGTTGTCGGCGTTTTTTTAAATCACTCAAAAATAAAAATGTTTGATTTTAATGTTATATTTTTACTATTTTTTGTTAATTTATTTAAAATTTACAAACTTAAATATAAACTATTTTACGTTAATTGTTAAGTTAACATTCACCAAGAAATATATACCGTACCGAATTAGATCCTTTGGCAAAACATGAAAATGCAACGATTTAGTTCTTGAATTACATTTACAATTAAAAACACAATAATTCACCATGATCACTTAGATAAAAAACACACACTAACGTAACTATATAAGAATATAAGCGTTGAGTTTCTTAATTAATGATATACTTAAGGAATAATAAATCGAAATCGACTAAAAAACCAAAGTTTTGCAGTTTTTACTTGCAACGAGAAACACAAATAACATGCGCGATTTAGCTGTGCAATTTAAAATTTGCCGAGTAAGACAATCTTCCTGTCTTTTGTGAAAAAACTATACATACGCGTTGCGTAAACCCTATGCTTCTTTAGCGTATACTGTAATAATCATTTTTTAAGCAATCAATATGTTCCTGTTTGGTTATTTTTCACAGATTTCCCAAAGACTATTTTAAAAATTAATTTTCAATTGCGATAAACAATCCTTAGAATTTAATTATTTAGTTTTTTTATGACTATTTCCATTAAAATTAAATGAGTTACAAATGGTTTCTAGGTGGAAAAACTGTATGACAGCACCTGTCAGCAGTTTTATCGAGTTTATCCGCGGTAAAACCTAACAGCTGTTCTGTCACCAAAAATTGCAATTTATATTTTAATTGTACCATAAATAATTAAGTTTGTAGTATTTTGTGATTAAATAAATTAACTATTTTTCAGTTTTCAAATTACCTATTTTTCAGTTTTCAAATTACCTATTTTTCAGTTTTCAAATTAATTATTAATTTCAAATTAATTAGGTATTAAAACCTACATATATTACTATATACAGGGTGTTATGTAATTTATGTTATATATTAAAATGGGTTGTTCCTTAGGGTCCATAAAGAAGTACCTGAAACTTTTTTTTCCTAAATTCCAAAGACTAAAAATAATTTATAATAACTTTTATCCTACCAAAAAGTACGCCATTGATCGACTAGTAGTAATCTGGTTGCCTAAATTAATTTATTATGTTATGGTTGGTAATATTAAATTCTTTCAAAAAAGTTGACAAACATTGTTTAAATTTAGCTTAATTACAAAAATGACAAAATTAACAATGCAAATTGTCAATTTGGCGTGTTTATTAATTGCTGGTTATGTCATTTTTGTACTGAAGGTAAATTCAAACAAAATCTGCCAACTTTTATGACAGAATCTAGTGCATTTCTTTCAAATTTTAGGTTATGTGCTCAAATTGTAAATATCTTAACTAAGGGAAGTTCTTTTGGATTTATTTACACAAATTAAATGTTAAAGTTTAACCTGTGAACTGGTCCCAATTTCATCTGAGTAAACAAAAAGAAAAAAAACCGACGAAAAAATTAATTTTGTGGTTATGGAATTTTTAAAATAGGTACTAAATTTTCTAATCATTGCTTAAGCTATTAGCTGGATGAGTAAATAAATAGAGAACGGTATTAGAGCTTTAAGGGCATAAAACTTTTGTATTTATTGAGTTTTTATTTATTTTTTGCAAGACAAATTTTTAGTAACAATTTTTTACATCTGGCAACGCGCAGCTACTTTGTTGGTTGGTATCTATGTACTCACAGAACACAAGTGTGCAGAGATAAACCAAGTGTGTAACCAGTGGCGTATCACAAAAAATATAAAAAACTTCTAATGCATATTTTTTCTTTATCTTTGGAAAAATATTTTTTTAATATTTTTCCTTTACTCCTTATGTCAAAAGGTATTCCGTATTTTAATATATAACATTAATTACATAACACCCTGTATATATTATGTCTAATTTTTCCTGTGAAAAAAATGGAAAAAACACAATGCTAAGTAATAATTTTTAACAAAATGCATTCGTGCAGGTACAAAAATCCTCGTCCTCAACTCGGATTTTTGTTGCCACCAGCACTCATGCTTCTTGTTAAAATATTACTTAGCAACGTGTTTTTTCGATGTTTTTCGGAAAAATTAGATGCCCTTATGATATTACTTACGAACATCTTACGA